TTGCTTCCAAGTACACATCACCCAAAATGAATCTCTGAGCATGCACAAATCTAGTAATCACCACCAGGAACTCTCCTTACAAACATGCCTGGGCCCCATCCTCTTCGGGAAGGACTTTCTGAAAGCGAGCATACGTCCTTTCTGTGTGTCCATCATTTAACTCTGACATCTCCCTCTCCTGCATCTCATCGAGGCATCAAGAGCCAGGGCACCTGGTCTGAGAAGCCCTCACTCCCACCAGCTGCACCTCTTGAATATTCCCAGCAATGATCTGCCCTGTCAAATAATCTGTCCTTGAGATAAACACATTCTCCTCCTTCCTCTCAGTATCTTTGCCTGCCACATGCCTCCTCCCCCTCAGTTCCCCTTTGATCTGCTTCACATTCTGATTCTGAATCTTCTGGATGGCAGCCAGCAGTGCCATGAGAATGAATGCCCAAAGTAGCCATCCTTCTCACTCCCAACAGTTGCAAAGGAATCTGAAAAATGTTCTGGGACCCACAGACAGTTCATGCAGGGTACCCGCCTGGGCAAACCATTGTCCCAAGTAAGCTAATATGCCTGGAGTGTATCTCATACTTCCTGGTATCTGCACAATGAAAGGAAAGATGAGCTAGATCTTTTAGGAAAAATTGTCAGCCACTATTGATCTTCTTGTGGCAAGTTCTTAAAGAGATGGGAGTACCAGACCATCTTATTTGTCTCTTGAGAAACCTGTATGCGGGTCAAGAAGCAACAGTGAGAACTGGACATGGAGCCACTGATTGGTTCCAAATTGAGAAAGAAGTTCTGCAAGGCTGTATACTGGCGCCCTGCCTATTTAACTTATATGCAGAGCACATCATGAGAAAGGCGGGGCTAGATGAATCACCAGTTGGAATTAAGATTGCTGGGAGAAATATCAACAACCTCAGATATGCAGATGATACCACTTTAATGGCAGAAAGTGAAGAGGAACTAAAGAGCCTCTTGATGCAGGTGAAAGAGTGCAAAAAATTGGCTTGAAACTCAACATTAAGAAAACTAAGATCATGGCATCCAGTCCTCTCACTTCCTGGCAAATAGATGGGGAAGAAATGGAAGTAGTGACATACTTTATTTTCTTGGACTCCAAGATCACCGCAGACGGGGACTGCAGCCAAGAAATTAAAAGACGCTTGATCCTTGGGAGGAGAGCTATGGTAAATCTAGACAGCATACTAAAAAGCAGAGACATCACCCTGCCAACAAAAGTGCATATAGTCAAGGCTATGGTTTTCCCAGTTGCAATGTATGGCTGTGAAAGTTGGACCGTAAGGAAGGCTGAGCGCCAAAGGATTGAGGCCTTTGAATTGTGGTGCTGGAGGAGACTCCTGGGAGTCCCTTGGACAGCAAGGCAATCAAACCGGTCAGTCCTAGAGGAGATCAACCCTGGCTGCTCTTTGGAAGGCCAGATACTGAAGATGAAACTCAAATACTTTGACCACCTAATGAGAAGGAAGGACTCCATGGAGAGGAGCCTAATGCTGGGAACAATGGGGGGGATGGTGGAGGACAGGAAGGCCAGGAGGAATGTTGTCCAGCAACATTGATATTCTTAGTAAAGAAATGGTAATTCGTGGTTAAACCAGATTTTGCTGCAAGATGCCTTATCTACCATTATCTTATCTAGCACAGCACTGCATAATCTTTGCAAAGGGAGGATAAAACAGTAACTATTCCTAGCAGGATGTGCAAGGTAATTAAACCTCTGACCAAAGCAAACTGTCAGAAAGTAAATCACAGACTGGATTCTACTGAGTTCCACTGGAATGTAACCAGATGGATCTAGGAGAAAAATGATTAAGAGGAATAAAACCCTAAAAATGAATATTAACTGTGAAGGGAGTAAGACAGTAGGACAGAAAAATTCTTTAAGAGAACAGAATTACACACTTTAAGGTCTGATTATGTGTAACTTTCTCTAAATACTTCTATGATATTGAAATGACAACCATGTATCATGGAAAAGGATGTATTCATATACAAACCCACCCTTACACAGTAAGCAAATATAAATGCATTCTATTAAACAGGCAAAAACAAAGAGGTTTTGTATAGAAAATTAAGATCTGTATCACAGAATGAAAACATCAGTTATATCATACACAAACAGTAAGTGATAAAACTATGATGAAATAAATGCAAAGAAAAGGAAACAAAAGGTCCAAGTCAAGATTCACTAAATAGTAGCTTCATTCAGTGCATGTAGGGTGAGAAGACTAGTTTCATCCACTCATCCATACCAGATGTGAATTTATAAATCACTCCTAAGAAAATCCTCTTCTGGAAGAATCACCAACCATACCCCCACAGTACTGGCCTCTGGTAATATTAGCTGTAAATATACTGTGATGGGTTCAGCACTGTCCATATATGCCCGCCCGCCCCTTGAGATCAGCAACAGAGGCCCTTGTCCGGGAACCCTCCGTGAATGATATTAGGAGGGTGAGTACCCGGAGGAGGGCTTTCTCTGCAGTGGCGCCCCATCTATGGAATGCGCTCCCCAGAGAGGTCTGCCTGGCGCCGTCGTTATTTGTTTTTCGGCGCCAGGCTAAGACCTTTTTATTTAAAACTTATTTTAAGTGTTAATTTATTATGTAGGATTTTTTTAAAAAATTAAGCCGAGATGCACCGGGTTTAATATTTTTAGTGTATAAATTTTTGTATGATTTTTTTTGTTTTTGTTGTGAGCCACACCGAGGCTTTGTTGCGATGAGGGCGGCATAGAAATGTTTTAAACAAACAAACAAACAAACAAACTTTGGTTCTGTGGCACATTAACCAAAATCCACAAGGCAGTAGAACCATAGATATGAACCACTGTACAACAGAGTGCACATTCTTCTCATATCATGATATAAATCTTACATTAACCCTAGGCCAACTTGTAAGTGTACTTTAAAAAAAATGTTCTCAACAATATATAATAGCCCCATTTCTCCACTCCCATTTTGCATTTTGGGAATGGAAACTGGAGTACAGTGCCAAAATCCAAGCCGCTGAAGTGAGCAAAGAAGTATCAGAATTCGGTATTCCCCAAGCCCCAAACAGCTGTGACCATACTTTTTTCCTTACTCTGATCTCTCATCTAACTGCCCTTCTCCAAACACACTGCGTATTTAAACAGCAAGCTCACCCATAATTGCAGCATATATTTCTGAAGGGTCAGAGTGCAGTGGAAGTCAAAGGAGGTGTTGGCTCCTGTTCTTACAAAACCTATCTGGGACGCCATGTGGCCAGCAAGCTTACTCTAAAGCTGATTCCCGTCAGCTCAACAACTGTGCTTGATCCTAGCATCTGCAGTGGGAGAAGTCCCTGGCAGTGGTAGCATCCTTTCCTGTTATGAGCAGAGAATCAGATTTTTCTGTTGATACATCCTAGGATTTTTTGTTTACTTCTTCTCCCTTGTTGCTAAGTGCCACCTCAGAGGTTTGAGGCCACAACTCCAGTATCCACCCTCAAAGAGAGCTGAAAGGAACCATTTCCTCTCCCACAATTAGCTCTTAATCTCATTAGCTTTAATTTCCCTGAAGTGATTATGCAGACACAATTTCTCTGAGCACCACTCCTGTTTGTCTCTTTTGCAATAGGTTAAACTGGATGGAGCCTGAACATCATCAGAGTTCCTTTGCAATCTCCCTGCCAAAGGCCCTTGACCCATTCCTGCATTTCCTTGAGCTACTTCACATATTACCCACCCACCCAACATTACATTTTAGTTCTTACAACAAGCTTAAGAAGACTTTACAACTAAGGTTCTTTTCAGATTACTAAAACGAACTAAAACAGTAAATTTGTGTTGTAAGCCGCCCCGAGGCTTCGGCAAGGGGCGGCATAGAAATGTAATAATAATAATAATAATAATAATAAATATTATCATGACAATCACGCCCTCTTTCACCCAGTGCTAGGTATCACAATATTCCTCCTGGGCACAACCAATGGAAGAAGGCTTTGCTGCAGGAAGGGACAGAAGTCCATATAAACATATGAAGTTGCATTCTACAAGAGGAACTCCTGACCACTTGGCCTAGACTTGTCACTTGGACAGGCGGCAGCTTACTCTGAAGGGCCATGAAAGCAGGCACATTCCCAGCCCAGTTCCCTTAGACAGAGCCAAGTGCCTTGGACATGCAGTGCTCTGCCTCTGAGCTCCAAACCCTTCACTATATTTATGTTTGCTTCTGTTTTTTCATGAGGAGAAATTACAGCATTGTAATCTGTGGCACATTCTTACTTTCTGTTACATAGAAACATAGAAACAGAGTGAGTCAGAAGGGGTCTCCTGGGCCATCTAGTCTGACCTCCGGCACCAGCCGGCTCAGCTCACGACATGCCCACCATGTGCATGTCCAGCCTCTCTTTGAACACCCGCACCGATGGGGCCTCAACGACCTCTCGTGGAAGCCCATTCCACACCCTCGGGGTCCTGACTGTCAGGAAGTGCTTCCTGGCATCCAAATGGAACCTTGGCTCCCTGAGCTTTGCTCCATTGGAGCGTGTCCTGCCTTCCCC